AGATAGATAGATAGATAGATAGATAGATAGATAGATAGATAGATAGAACACGAGGTTATTCTATAGTAAGTTTAGAAATGGCTCTTTTAGTCAAATGTATTCTGAGAGCCAGGCAGCCCCTAAACTGCTTCATGCTGCTGTTGATAAGCCCCCATGCATCTGGGAATGTGCCAACCCCACTTTTCAGAAGGAACATGAGGCTCAGAGAGGCAGTGAAACTTCTTTCAGCTCACACAGCACATAAAAGGCAGCGTGGAAACGCTCCTGGTTCCTTTCTTTTGTCAGTCCTTTACACGTCACTGTGACAAATGCCCAAGGCAAAGAGGAAGGGTTTGTTTTGGTCACAGGTTCGTGTTTGGTCTCTTTGCTTGGCTCCATGTGCTTGGGAAGAATATGATGGGGACAGGAGTGTCTGGTGGCAGGCAGCTGTTCACATCATGGTGGACAGGAAGCTAGAGCCCAGCAGGAAGGAGCCAGGGAGGCTGTACCCACTAAGGACTCACCCTCCTCCCCCAGTAATCTACCTATAGCCAGGCCCCACCCAACAAAGCATCTAAGCCAATGCATCAGCTGGGGACGAAGTGTTCACAGCATGCTATGGGGTCTGTTAGGACTGAAACACAACACCTGCAGTTTGCAGATGGAGTCATCCTGCTCCTGCTGATTGGACAGCTGGAAGGCTTCTTCTTGCATCTGAAGGAATTCTATCTCACTCCCAGCTCTCCCACAGAAATGGTAAGCTTCTGAAGTCTTCCTCCGTGGGTTTTTTGTTTGTTTGTTTTTTGTTTTGTTTTGTTTTGGTGGCAGGGAATGGACAGATCTATGGCATTGGCCTGACAGTCTTTATTCAATTCCAAACAATGAGAAAGGTGAAAGGAAATTTTGTTCATATACCTATCTATCCATCCATCCATCCTCACACCCATTCATCCACCCATTCACCTGCTCAGGCACCCACCCACCCATCCATATGCCCATCCATTCATCTATCGACCCACCCATCTATTGACATCTATCCACTCATCCTTTCACCCAACACCTGTGTACCTTTTTATTCATCCTTCCACAAAGCTATCTACTCATCCACCCATTCATCCATTGACCATCCATGCTCAACCATCTGTCCGTCCATCCATCCATCCATCCATCCATCCATCCATCCATCCATCCATCCATTCATCTAGTTTTCTGCATATCTATCCATTGGCTCATTCACCTACCTGTCTGTCCCCATATCTACTTCCCCACCTCCCTCAGTTCACCAAATCACCCACTCACACACCCACTTATCCACTCCTACACCAAACTACCCACTCTCCAAGGGTCACTTAGTGCCAGGCCACGCTGGACACAGAATAGTCCCTCACAACTCTGGCTTTCAAGTTCCTCCACTTCCACCAGCTGTGCTCCCGGGATGGTGGCCTTCTAGGACATCAGGTAGACATTGGCTTCTGGTGTGCTAGAGAGAGACTGGGGTGTGGTTTACAGAATCGAGAAAGATGAAGGTCACCTTGAATAAGGGAGCAAGCTCAGTAGAGACTCAGGAACACTTGGGGGGAATGGTCCAAGGCTCACAAAGGCTACAGGGACTGGACAGGGCAGGTCTGGTGGGTGAGGCATGTCACATGGACCTGCAGCTGCCAAAAGACACAGCTTTAGTCCAGGCAGGCAGCTAGGTTTGACCCCAGGAAGAGGGATGGGGAGCAAAAGGCCAGCGAGTAGATGTGAGTGGCAGGGTGTGCTCCTTCTGAATGTGCCTACCTTCCCCACAGAGACCCCAGCACCCTCCCTCTGCCCTCCCTCTCTGCCCATAATGCTCTGCATCTGAGCCTTTCACCCACTCCTCTGGGTTATGATCCAGGCTTCCTTGAAGAAGCCCTTTCCAGAGGCTTCCTTTCCAGGGAGAAGACTCCTAATGCGTTCTACACGAGGACCTCAGCAAGGAAATTGAGTACTTCGTGCTGGGTCAGAGCCCTACTGCTGGTCTCAGGCTTCTTGTCTCTGAGTTGGGTTGCCAGCGCTGCCTTGCCCACTGTCAGCTTGTGTGGGAACCGAGCAGTAAACAGAAGTGTGGAGAGCTACTGGGAAGGAAGCTTGGAGGAGCACATATCCCTGTTCCCCTGCTCTGTGCTTTCTATGGTTACTGTAGCCTTCCAGTCTCGGGCAACCCTTGAGAAGGGTGATGGGGGTGTAGAGTGAGGACAGTTGGTGACCTGCCTGGGACCAGATGGCTGGCCTGTCTCCATCCACATTCTTCTCAATAGTGACCTTTCCTCCTGAAGTAAAACCCAGGATGTCTGTCCCCGAGCGTGTCACCTGCAGGCTGGGTCCTCCTGGGGGCCTACCACCTTCCTAGTCTGGATCTTGTTCCCGTCCTCTTTTGCCCTTCACCCGCTGTGCCCTCTGCCTGTCTTGTCCTGTTGCAAGGCCCCTGCGGATCCCCAGAGCTCAGCCTTGGGCATCTTGACCTTACCTACCCTGGCATTGCTATCTACATGTTTCCCCAGCTGGCAGCTCTGCCTCTTTCTTACTTCCTCAGAGGTCCCCCGGGCACTGAACAAGCCTCCTGATGAAGCTTCTTTCAGATCCCTTGGCATTACCCTCCCTGGCCCACTCTTCTGCACCCTGGGAAGAGGGAGGGTGAATTGTGTGTCCACTTTACACAGAACAAGACTGGGTGCTTGGAAGTCTGACAGGCTCTCCTGGGACCACACAGATCACTGATATAAGGCTGGCCCATGGGAACATTCCACCCCTGAGTCATTCTTAGGACAAAGGTGAGCCTGTGGGAGGCTCAAACCGTGCAGGACAAACCTGCATCCATCGAGTGGGACATCAGGGATGAACCTTGGGACAAGTCTGAGGAAGGAGACAGGCACCACACAGCAGGAACCAAAGCTCAGCAGCATGGAGCCATGCCCATGTCATTCAGAGGCCAGGCTTCTTGGGACTCAAGGCCTGTGCTTGCTGCTTCATGTTCCCCAAGCTCCAAATACAGGCCAGGCCAGGGCACAGAGGTCCAATATTCCTGGCACAGCTAGTTTGTGAACCCACCACTAGATCCTCTTCCAACCCTTCTCAGGAATAGATGCAGGAACATGGCATTAGCTTGGAACCCAAGAGAAGAGGGTGGGGCTTGTGGAAGAGACTCAGGGCAGGAACATGGCTGACGACACTCACAGGTCCTTAGCTGGAGGCTGGAACCCTGGCTGGTTCTCTTGCAGATTGACCTCGCAGGACTGCAGTTTTCATGGTCAGGTAGTGCTTGATTACAGCATAGACGCAAGGGTGTCAGCATTCATTTCCAGAGTAAAGTTACCAACAGAGAGCGAGGCGGTCATTTGCTTTGCAGAAATCAAAATGCCAGAGCCAGGAAGCTCTGGCTTCCTCCCACATCTCTCTCAGGAAGATGGGAACTCACCTCTTGGGTCCTGGCCTTCCTCCGCAGAGCTTTCTCTTCATCACCTCAAAGTGTTCAAAGCAAAGGACAGGCTGGGGAGGGTGGGACAGGCCTTGCAAGAAGCCTGACCGAATCTGTGGTTCACGGGCTTCTTGGAGGAAGCATATGCTAAGTTGCTGAGTGTTCTCTCAGTCACTCACACATACCTTTCAGCACGGACTCCCTGGGAAGAGGTGCTGTTCCAATTCTGGGCTGCATGCATGGCCAGCCTGCAGTTGAGGGTCAGCAAGTATTTTTAAAATATGCGAGTGATGGGCAGGCCAGATGGCTCAGTGGCTGAGCGTGCTTGCCGCCAAGCCTGGCGACCTGAGTTTGATCCCCAGGACCCACTCGATGGAAAGAGAGAACGGACTCCTGCACATTGTCTTCTGACCATCACACACGTGCTGTGGCATACGCTCCCCTCCATAAATAAATAAATGTAAAAATAAAGTAAATGCAGTTACAGCCCAGGGCAGCCACACAGACATCCGACATTCCTGGAACAGTCAGCTCCCAACCCATGTGAGGGAAATATGGTAGCTGCTTAGCTCGGGGGGGGGGGAGTCCAGGAGGTTGGGGTGGGGAAGCGGCTGGTGGGGGAAGCAGCAGGGTAGGAGATCTGGCAGTTGGTACATGCTTGCATCCCCAACTGTTTGAGAGGCTGAGGCGGAAGGATCGAAAGTTTGAGGCCAGCCGGGGCTATGGAGTGACGTCAAAGCCAGTCTGGACAATTTAGTGAGACCCTGCCTCAAAATAAAAAGTAGGTATTGGCTTGGAGATATGACCCAATGGTAGAGCGCTTGTGGAAGGCCCTGAAGCTGACCTCCAGAAGTGCAGGAATGAAGCCTTTCCCCCAAACTGGCCCACGTGAGGTGTTGTGACAAATGGAGCCAATGGTCAATTAACTTGGGAGGCGAGAGGCCGGGGAGGGTGACAAAAATACCCTTGAAGCTTCTTGACATATATTTGTGTGTTCAAGACTCTGAGGGGTCCTGCAGCGAAAACTCCCACAGTTTCCAAATCCATCTGGCCACAGATACCCTGTCCATTGACAGCCCGGATCACTCTTTAGGGATTGTCGGCTTGTCAAGAGCATTCCAGGCAGGGCATTGAGGTCCAGGGCAGGGGGATGGAGTTCCCTCTTACTGACATTTTCTTCCTGGGCAGTCTGCAAGCAGCACTCCTGATGAGAATGTGCCAATAATGGGAGACCCCCCCCCACCTTCCCCAGGATATTTTCAGGGAGGGACTTGGAAATATAGAGGCAGGCCGGAGCCGTGTGCTCCCCATCTGCATTTACTCAGACTGCTTCCCTCTTGGTCTGGATCTTCCTGAGGGTGCCTAGCCCTGTAGAGCTGAGGGCCAGTGATCTTCTGGGTGCTCCGCCTTATCTATCCTACTCCCCCAGTAGCCTACCAAGCAGAGAAGGATTGTTTACCACTTTCTAAGGGGACTCTATCGCCTACAAGCTCTAGGTCCCTTCTGAGACAAAGTCCCCTCACCTGACAGATTCACATTCAGGGTGTCACCTCCCCCCATGGAATGTCTCAGTGAGGACCTTTCCCCGCTAGCAGTGACCCCTTGATCCCGCAGCCCAGCATGTGGTGTCTGTTAAGAGCTGTGTGCTGATGAGGGCCTCTGTATGAGGGAGCGAGCTCCCCATTCACAGGGCACGGAGAAGATGCTGAGTGTCACCTGATTGTTGTAGTTCAGGGGTTCAAATCTTGGATGGGCAAGAAAAGATGCCGTTGGTGACATGTTGGTATAATGTTCTTTTGATATGTATACACCTTGCCCTTGTTCATTCAAATGCCGATTTCTCTCCCTCACTCTCTGGTTTCAAGCTGGACGTTGCATTGTGATACTTTTTCTAAGCATCACCTGTCTCAACTTTGTGTAAACATGACAAAATAAAACAACCAGCCACAATGTTGAGCAATAGAGAGGAAGGAGTAGGTGGGAGAGGGGAGGAGCCAGAGGATAGGAAAGAGTGAGAGGGAAGGGCAGAAGGAGACTGGGAGAGGAGAGACAGGAGCAGAGGTCTTGGAACGATGTTGAGAAATGAACTGGACCTAAGATTTCACTAAAAGCAAGTATAATGTGGGAAATCTAAATGTTAGGAAACTATGAGGGCTTGGAAGTTTAGGATGGAGTAACTATTGCCCAGCAGTGTGTTCTAGGTTAATTAAATAAATCCCAGTCTCTGTGTGGTGATTTGGGTATATAGCTGTTTAGGATATTAATCACAGTTTACAACAGTGACAGGACCTGGTGCCTGGACCCAGGGTCTCATTGGCTGACATTCGATTGGCTTTATCACCACAGCTGCACAACGTCACCCTAGCCTTGGAACTGCTCAAGGATGAAGGCCTTCTCAGCCACCCTGTCAACCCTGAAGGTGAGTGCATGGCTTCCCTTTACCTGGCTGACCTGCCTTGGATATGCCTGAGAGCAGTAGCAGGGAGTGGAGAGGCAAGCATTGCTAACAGGGTCCCCCGCTCCCTGGCCCAAAAAGAGAGTCTGACTGTGAGTTTTCCTAGGAGGGGTGCTGTGGCCACCATGCCTGCAATCAGGGGCTAAAGTCCCTGGGGATAAGTGCTCAGAGGACCCAGACCTCAGAGTCCCTGTTGTGGGGGAGGGGGCATGATTTCAGCGGAAGCCCGGACAAGAGGAAGGAGGCAGGGTCATGTGGTTGCCCCTAGGACTTGAGCTCCCTTGACCCTGTTTGCAGGAGATTTTTCTTGTAGCATGAATCCTCCCCCATCCCGGGGGACAAATGCTCCTCCTTGGTCTGGCCTAAAAGGCTGACTTGCTCCCTCTGCCCACAGATATTGTGAACAAGGATCCCAAGAGCACACTGCGGATACTCTACAGCCTATTCCAGAAGCATGCGTTGAGGGCAGAGGGCGACAGGGCACGCCATGGTACCCCAAACTAGCCACCTCTGCCTCCCCACGCCATTTCTCAGGACCTGCCACGTTTGGAGGACCCAGCAGTCCCATTTCCTTGTTGCTGTGGGTTGGTCACCATGCTTCCTTCTCACATCTGTCCTGCTTACAAATGGGCTAATACCTTTGACCTCACCAGATGGGGAACTGTTTTGATCCCATCTCTGCTTTGCTCAGTTTAGTTTGACAGAATTGTATTTCTGTGGGGAAGGGGGTCTCTGAGTGCCTGTGGAGTCCTGGCTGAGCCTTTAACTCTGGTGTAAGTTAATGGCCGCCCAGCCCCCACAAACATGGCCTCCCCAGTCAGAGGCTCTTTGGCATCAAGGCTGACGGCCTCTGGCCACAGCCTCAGTGTAGTCAGTTCCTGTCAGTCTTCCTCCTACTTGGGGCAATTAGCTCAGGATTGCCAAAGACCGGAGCCCCCCATGAGAGGAGAAATGAATTCAGTTTCTTGTCAGAGGACCCTGGCCAGGCTATCCCTACAACTGCAGCCCTGAGCTTTACCCTGAGCCCCAGAAAAGAGAGCCTGTAGTTGGTTCTTGGGTTCAAGTTATTTGCTGGTCTGTCTCCAGACAGCCATGAGAATTCTGTCCCGTGAGACTTAGTGTCTTCTGCAAAGAGAGAGAAACAGCTGAAGAATTGAGCTGGGTCCATCCAGGCTGGAGGAGAAGCTGGAGGCAGCGGCGGGGGAGATGCAAAGCATAGGGGCTACAGAGAGAGAGGGGTGTAGTGACTCAGTGGTTCAGGGATGTGGAGAGGCCAGGCCAGCTGTCACTCCTCCGGACTTTTCCCTGAGTGCCTAGCTCCAGTCCCCTGGGATTCCCCAGTCTTCTATGTTTGGGGGTGTACAGTCAAACACTTTTGCCTTGAGGGGACTTTGGAGCAGAGTCTGGTCAGGACAGGCCAGCTCTACCAGGACAGTGGGTGGAGCTGGGTGACCTGGGGCTCCTGTGTCTGATGTGAGGAGGCCAGAGGCCTCTCTACCCAGCTCCAGTCCACCTGTCCCTTTGCCTGCTCTGTAGGCCACTCATAAGTCCTAGAGGGTCCCATCACATATCTCCTCTGTCCTGCTGCCCCTGAGACATGTCCCTCTCCCGTTGTTGGGGCATCCTCACAGAAGCAAGGAGGGGGTGGGGCAGCTGCCTCTACCTGCTCTTGGCTCCCTCCCTCCTGCTTCCTAGCCTATTTGCCCATCTGGCTCCCCAATGTCCTCACTTCATGCCCTTACCTCCTGTCTGATAGCAAATTGAAATCATAATGAGAATCGTTTTTGTAACTTTATTGAGGAATAAATAACATTTCCCAGCTTAAATGTACAACTCAATGACAGTTGACAAACATTCGCAGTCACATGCCTCCGCCAGAAGGGTCAAGGCCTGAAACAGCCTGTCACCTGATGTCCCACCTGTTGGAGACCTGGCCTCAGAAGCGACCGATCCACTTCTGTTACTGCCATTTTTGCTGTTCCTGCATCTTTTAGAAACTGTATCAGAGAGGAAGCAGCCTTCCGTGTGGGGTTTCTTCGCTCTGGCACAATTCTACTGTCTCCACAGTGACCCCACAGCCCATCCCTCGCTGATGAGAGCCCCGCTCAGTGAGTGTCATTCATCCTTGCATTCTTCGTTGTCTACAAGGCTTGAGGGCTGTCTTTACTCTTTAGTTTCTATGCAGGCTACAGGGATTGTTATTCGTGTTTTGTAGATTGTTGTGTGTGCTCACGGCTCTGTATGGGCACTTTCAGTTTTCCCAGGTGGATACACAGGACTGATATGGCTGATCCATACAGTAATTGTATGTTTTATTCTCTTAAGATACAGAGAAATGTGGTTTTTTTTTTTTTTTTTTTTTTTTTTTGGAAGTAAATAGACTGTTTTCACTCCCGCCTGCAATGCCCAAGAGCTCCGGTTACTCTCCATCTTGTCATCACTTGGTATTATCTGTCTTTTTGAAGCTAGCCACTTTGGAGGGTGTATGCCGGCATCTCACCACGGTTTTGATTTTAAGCGTTATTCCTTTCATGACTAACGGTTTTGGGAATCTGTATTGGCTCCAGAAACTAAAACACAATGCCACAGACCAGGCAGTTTAAATAACAGGCCGTCTGTCCGACAGTTACAGTGGCTGGGACTTGGGACATGGAGGAGCTGGCAGATCTGGTGGCTGGTGAGAACCATCCTCCTGGCTCAGAGATGCTGCCCTTCTTTCTGTGTCTTCATGAGGGTACAGGTGGCGTGGGGTGGGGGGGCTGTCAGAGGGGAGAGAGAGAGAAAGAGAGGTCACCACCCTGGCATTGTCTCGATTTCTTCCTCTGGGGACCTCGCCTTCGTGGCATCATCATCCTCGGGAACCTCACCTCCACATAGCATCCCGGGGAGGCAGGCCAGCATGACAAGGGCATCACCACAGATTGGGGAAGGCATCCGTCTCAGACAGTGTCTTCGCCTGCATTTTCCATCCTGTATCATCTTTGGCAAAGTGTTCTTACATCATTTGCCTTAAAAAACAATTTGCATGTTGAATCCCTTGGCGCTGGGGTTACAGGACTGATGTGGGTGCTGGGAATGGAACCTGGATCCTCTGGAAGAGCAGTAAGCGCTCTTAGCCACTGAGCTATCCTTCCAGCCCATTTGCCTTTTCTCTTTTCTTTTATTTTTTTTTTGTCTTGTGTAGAAAAGAAATCATTGTAATTTAAGCTTCAAATGTAGTGTTGGATGTATTCTGAGTTAATTTTTACATAGAGGGCAAGGGTTGAACTGTAATTTTTCCCACTGGGTACTTCGTCATTCCAGCCCAATCTGTTGTAAAGACTTTCCTTCATCCACATCAAATCTCCATGGTGCCTTGGTGCAAAATCAGTCTTCCAGCCCAGGGTTGGGCCACGCTCAACTGTGTGCGGGGGGGGGGGGGCACCACAAGGTCTGTGCCAGGGTCTTAGCTGCTGGGGAGTCCACGAAGTCACGACCAAGTAGCAGGTCCGTCGGCTTTGTTCTCTCTTTGAGAAGCAGCATTGGTTCCTGAGAGCCCTTTTAATTCATTTGATCTTCATATAAAATTAGAATCAGTTTGTCGTCTGCTGTTTTGTAAAATGCCCCTCAGGTTTTGATTGGAGTTGTGCTGACCCTTCAGTCAAGTGTGTGTGTGTGGGGGGGGGTTGTCAGCCCATGGCTTAGAACCCTGGGAAGCTGAGTCACTTGACTTGGGCACCTCCTCTCTCTTCCCACCTTTCACCCTCAACTCCTCCTTCATCTCTTCTCCCTTCCTCCTCTTTTATTATTTTTTTTACTGTAATTTAAAGATATTATTATTAATTCTTTGAGAATTTATTTTATTAACTTAATCTGATTGACAGTGGACATTAACAATGACAGGCAATTCTCTAAGACTTTCCTACCATGTATTTTGATCATATGCATCCCAACTCCTTCCCCTAACTCCTTCCAGATGGAGCTGGAATGATGGGTGGTTCTGAGCCACCTGATGTGGGTGCTGGGAATCATTTTTAGGTCCTTGGCAAGAGCAGTGCATGCCCTTAACCGCTGAGTCATCCCTGGGGACCTGATTCATGGTTTCCTATTGCCGCAAATTGTGTATGACACGAACTTCACCATGTCATCATTTTCCTGCATGATTTCTGTAGCACTGACTGTGTTCTCATGGTTGCGCCACCATTTCTGTGTCCACCTGCACCTGTGTCTCCAGGCTACCCGACCCCATCATTGTCCCCAGCCTTGGGAAGACCGCCTTTCTGGGTCCCATCTCCGGGACACTAACTGTGCCCGGCACTCTGGTGCATTTGAAGGTGTTCCTGCTACTCATCCCACCGGGCCCCGAGTGTTCAGTTCTTTTGGACTGAAGGCATTCTCACAGCCTGCTTTATTTCCATCGTTGGTTCAGCCGCTGGATGCCTTTGTTTTCTTTCTTTGGTGGCATCTCTGGTGTAGATCTGCACTGCTCTCCTGCAGCTGCTGTGCTCTCACAGTTCTAAATGCTGGAAGTCTGGAGTTAGGGGCCAGTAGGGCTGTGCTCGGGAAGACATCTGTCCCTTGCCTTTTTCAGCTCCTGGCAGCAACCTGCATCTCAAGGCTTGTGGCTGCATCACTTCTCTATTGCCCACAACCATTTGTTTCTTCTTTTTTCTCTCTCTCCCTCCTTTCCTTTCCTTCCTTTTTCATTCCTTTCCTGTTTGTCTGTCTTTCTTATTTCTCCTCTCTCTCTCCATTTCTTCCTTCCTTTTCTTTTTTCTTCTTTCTTTCTCTTTCTTTCTTTCTTCTTTCGTTTTTAAAGACAAGTTCTCATTATTTCATCTTGGCTGTCATGGAGCTTACAAGATAACCCAGGCTGACCTCGAACTCACCTCTGTGAGTTCTGCCTCCTGTCCCACCATCCAAGTGCTGAGATTAAGGTGTGTGCTACCCCACCTCACCCTCTAGTTCTTTCTCTGAACTCTCTTCCTGTGTCTCCTTTACAAACACTTGCTATGAGATTTATAAACCCCAATGGCCTCAGAGCTTTTCATGTCACACTCCCCAACTTGAAAGTGTGAGGATGTCACAGTCACTAAAATACATGCTTTGTAATTGCAAGGACCTGAGTTCAGTTCCAGGAACCTGTATAAAAGTGCCTAGTGTGGTGGTGTATGCTCATTTTCTGTTACTATCACAAAATATTTGAGGCTGGGTGATTTATAAACAACAGAGGTTTGTTTCTTATATTTCTGGTGAAGGGGACCACACTCCATGCCATAGCGGAAGGCAGGGGGCTAAAGAGAGGGTGTCTTAAGCCCTTTTATAATGGCATAAGTATACTCATAGAGGTGGAGCCCCAGCATGGGGGATTAAGTTTCTAGTGTGTAGGCTTTGAGGACACGCCCAGAGCAGAGCAGCCTCCTTCAGATTTCACTGCAGTGCCAGCCCACTGTCAGGGTCTGTACCTTCAAGAATGGATTCACTTTAAAGAAAAAGGTCTCTGGATGTAAAATTCTAGATAAACAGAGTTTCTCTCTCTCTTTCTCATTGTTTTTAAGATTTACTTTATTTTTAACTATGCTTATGCCTGTATATCTATGTGTGGGTATGTGCCTATGAGGGCAGAGCCTGTGGAGGCCAGAAGGGGGCGCCAGATCCCCAGGAAGTGGCATCACAGGCTGTTGCAAGCAGCCCTCAGCCTCTAGTGCTGAGACTAGAATTGGTTCCTCTAGAAGAGCCATCTCTCCAGCCATTTATTCATTTATTTAATATTTATTTTTACCTCTTTTCCCATCTTCATTCTTTGCTGTTGCTCTTTCTTTAAGTTGTTTTTGCAGGGTTTTCTTATGGTGTCTTCCAACTTTTAAATTTTGCAGTGAGATATTGGCCATTCCTCCCCTCTGACTCGCTTACCGTGTCTTTTTCTATTTGGCTGTTTTATGTGATTTTCAATTCATCCCTGTTTTTTAGTCATGTGACCTTGAAGAGTCTTGGCATGTGTTTTTACATTTGTCTTGTGGTTTGAGTTTTCGGATAATTTTAATTCTGTGGGCTTATGGTTTTTATGAAATTTGGGAGAACTTTGGCCATCATTTCTGCAAACAATAGTCTTCTTCCTCCTTCTCACTTCCTCAATTCCAGGTTAAGTGGCTTTTGACCTTGTCACACTTGGATGCTGTGTATTTGTTTGTCCTTTTACTTCCAGTGCTGGGGATCAAAGCCAGGGGTTCACACCTGCTGAGCCAGCGCCCTGTCTGTGCTGTAGCTCAGTGGTACCTTCACTTTGTCTCAGCCTTTTTCCCTTTTATTTTCAAGTCCATTGATCGCTTCTCTAGCGCAGACTCCTCCGCTTTTATCACCACCACGTTTCCAGCCTCAGACGTTAAGCTCTATCGTCTTGGGAATCCATTTAGGTCATTTAAAATATCCCCCAGTTCTCACCACACTCACGCTTTCCTCTACCTTCCGTGCATCTGAGGCTTTTTTATACTTGTGTTTAAACACTTCCCATCTACTGAGCTGTTGTCTGTGATGTTTCTGTGCTTCTTCCCTTTGATCAACTCTTCTGATTACGGTTTATGTCTGTCTTGTCAAATAAAATTGCATGCCCAGCAAAAATTTACATCATGGATTTTATGTCACCGGGCATTGAGTTTCTTTTACAGTATTTCTTGGGGCTTGTGAGGTGACTCAGTGAATAAAAACACCCTACACCACACCCGATGACCTACCTGAGTTCAGTCTCTTGGAACCCACGTGGCAGAGGAAGAGAACCAACTCCCCAAAGTTGTCCTCTGACCCCCACGTAGGTTCAGTGGCATGCAAATGTCAGCTGCCAAATAAATAA